GGACAAATAACTTACAACACCGTAACGCTGTTCCTGAGGTATTAGTACTGGCTTATCATTAATAATTGTACCAATGGCTATCATATCTGACTCTAGATGTATCTCGGCACATTGCTGTCTTCTAATAATATCATCAAATGATCCTAACGGCTCCTCATAATCGTCCCACATAAGATTACAGGCCACACTTCCGTTTGTCATTTTTAAAACACCACCTAAAGCTTTGAGGCCAGACATAAAAAATTATGTGATTGTCTTTATATATCCTTTTTTAATTATATGCATCAGACTACTAATTACCAACAAATTTATTGTCATTCTCATATTTTTCGTAAAGAACCGTTATGATATCTGTGTTAATAGTTTTTCGACCTTTTGCACGCACTCTGATAACATGGCCCCCCCTACCCTCGCTGACAAAGAAAATGCCTTTGTTGGTGTATTTCATTTGGTTAGGATCAGTTAACTTTTCTATTCTTGTCTGTCCGTTACCCCTCTCTGCGAAAATAAGGCGACTCTCGTTCCTAATATCCATAGGTGCTCTATACGTTGCATTCATAATGAGCTACAACAATAATCAGGTTTACGAGAAACAGTAATAATATCATAGGAATCGTGTGTATGATAAAAGCATGATTGAAACTTAATAGATTAAGTTGAATAGAATTAAATCAGTAGAATAGAATTAAATCAGTTGAATAGAATTACAAATGATAAAATAACGATGATTTGATTCGTGATATGATTCGTAAATTATCGCAATTTGATATATATCATTACATTGTTATTTGTGTAGCAGTGATATATTATCATAACTTTTTATTGTCATAATAGTATTATTCACACAATAGTATTTTCACATATAAAAATGTGAAAATATTGATAACACGTACATGTCCATAATAAGGCATGCTTGGTTTTGTAGCGTAAGAAGTTCCAATAACAAAGGCATCACGGCAACTGGTTGTGAATATTTCTTGAAAATCCCGTGTTCTTTGATTCCACGGTACATTTGGTTCGAGAAGAAAGAGTTCTACTATCGATGTGTAGCCACCTAATCCTGTATGAATTATTCATTTTTTAAAGATATTCCATTTAATGAAAAATTACACGCTTTCTGCGATTTCTTACCTACTCCGGCAAGATTATATGGTGCAGTACTTAGATTAGGACAGCTAGCTATGTCGACGTTCACTCGTTGGAACAGGGGTTGCATTCCATTTTGCAGAACTATTATCATGTAACACACGCATCGATTATGACATGTTTGGTGAATTAAATAATAAATTATACAAACCTTCTGCGATTTCTAAGAGGGTCGGTATTTCCAAAGGATATACACGATAAGGAAGAATATCAGTTGTGTAAGCATCCCCATTTGGCAATGCTGCCATAATGCTAAATTAAAACTGGAACACAGGGCTATTAAATAATTAATTAATTAATTTTTACTGAAAGTAAAACTACGCTACGCGTAGTGATTTACAAATTATTATATTGTAATAGTAAATTTAATATTAAATCTGAGGTATGTTGATGTTGTAAATTTACATGCACTACTGAAAAAGATTATAGTGAAATGATCGAATTTGGAATATTTGAAGAGCATGTTTTATTAAATATCAGCATGATGGATCCAACCTCACTTCTTAGGCCTTATTTATCTGGTTGAATTGTATTCATTTTGAACCTTATTTAAAATTATAACTCATAATATTCTTTTTTTTTATATATTTATATATTTCATGAGTTAATGATAATTCTGTGAGCTGACATGCATTATTGTATTATATTTACTATTTTATAAAATTGTTAAATGTTTTACTTATTTAAACAATTTTGCTCGTCTCGTAGTTGTTTAAATTAGAATAATGAAGATATTATATCGTATGTGTGCGTACATGTCAAATATTTGTGTCATATACTTACTAATTATGTTGCAAAATACAGCTTGATTGCTTTAATTTCTTAATTACATCAACGTCAGAGACACGTATTTGTCTTCTTACTTAAACGGTATGTCACTTTGTTACTGCTTCTTCGAATGTAACGAGAAAACAATGGTTTACGAAACTTTAGAATAATAGCGGTCATAAGCGTTAGTAGTAATAGATAAACAGAATTTCGTGAATGTTTTGAAAATCGTTTTGAAATTCACAATCCAATGGAAATTTAAAATGTATAGTTTATTTTAAAAAAGAAATTGGTTTGAAGTTGATAATTTAAAATAAGCTTTGTGAGTTCGTAATATAACGCTACATAATCGAAACATTCGTGTAATATACTACATGTTTAATTATTAATCTGTATTATATTATTAATCCAAGATTATTGTTTATTTTGTTTTTTTTAATATGTACACGAAGAGAACGATTTTATTGAAGGATTTAACAATTTAGTTCGATACAGATTTGAGAATAAATTTGTTAGACTATCAAAATAATTTTGTAGTACGATCAAGCTGATTGCTCTTTTGCTGCGTTACTTATGATTTTCCACATAAAAATTTTGGAAATCCAATAAAATAAGATGTTCTGTATTCAGCAAAAGTCTTTCTGTGTAATACCATACAGTTGGAATCAGTTAATGTATTTAAACTGTATATAAGTCTTCACCTTAGAAAAGAATTTTTTATTTAATTATTAATTTAGTCCTTATTTATTTAATTGGAGTATGTATATATATTTAAATCTGTTCTTTGTGACTTAAGTACAT